TGTATTTCAAAATAACAACAGTGCCTGGCGATCATAAAATTACAAATAAAATTTTTCTTTCTTCTTTATGAATTACTATATTTTCTAATTTCCTACAACACACATTGTAATTTTTGGAATTCAAAATGAGATAAAAAAGAAAGAAAGAAAAAGGAACCAAAGCTCTTTTGTATTTTAAAACATGTCCACTATTGTAAGAACTTTCTCATAGTAACACTGGGAATTCCGCACTAGTTCTTATACTTCCATTTTCAAACAGAAGAGCATTAGCATTTAGTGGGCTCTAATAAAAGCACCAGGTAAACACTAGCACTTATGTAGACCAAGAAAGCATTACGTGACAGCCACGTAAAAAACAACAGATGAAAATTTACAAAATTGGTATAACTGCAATTTAGATGGTAGCTGAAGACACAGAGATTCTATGTAAAATAGAGATAGCAGCTATTCCGAACCAGAATGTGAACTCTGATCACCATCATCAATCATCAACTGAAAGCCTGAATTTTATTCTTCTTCTTTGAGCAACCCTAAATTTTGTCATCTGAAGAGAAAAAAGACTTGAAATCCTTTTGAAAATGTTCTTCCCACTTTGTCATACAATGCTTTTATTTATGAAATTTGTCTTCCTGGGCTGGCAAGATGGCTCAGGGGGAGAAAGCGCTTGCCACACAAGCCTGATGACCTGAGTTCTATCCCCAGATCCCAAGGCAGAAGGCAAGAACCAACTCCCAAAAGTTGTCCTGTGACCTACACATGTGCGCCATAGCATTTGCACCTGTTCTCACACACATCTCTTTCTCTCTCTCTCTCTCTCTCTCTCTCTCCTCTCAATAACAGCAATAGTAATAATAAATAAAATACAAATTTTTAGGGGCTCAGCGATTAAGAACACTGGCAGTTCTTGCAGACGACCTGGGTTTGAATCCCAGCACCCACATGGCAGCTAACAACTGTCTGTAACTCCAGTTCCAGGGGATCCAACAGCCTCTTCTGTCCTCCACGGGCATTGCATGACATGGGTGCACTTACCTACATGCAGGCAATACATACAGACACAAAAAAAATAAATTTTTTTGAAAAATACAAATTAAAAAAAATAAAGTTAGTCTCCTAATCTATATTCCAATATGAATTTATATCCTCACTGGGCAGAGAACTTATCCAGAGAGTCACACAAGCTTAAAGATGACTGTGCAGAAGAAAATATTCCAAGGATCACCTTACATTATCGCAACTGAGAAGTTGTTTGTGTTGATAAACACTTTTGCTGAATCCAGCCAACAGTTACAACAGCTACAATTTAGAAATCCTTCTTAATGACCCCAGTGACTGCCTCAGAGTTTTGCCAAAGCTGTTAGTAAAAATCCAAGGAAAATAATGACTAAACTGTTGTATTCCAACATATATTAGTATAAACAAGGTCTCGTCAACTCCCCCCACCAGGTTCATAATTTACTGTAATGAGTATTACACGATGAGTTGACATTTGCTTCTCCAAACATGGCACTTAGCAGATTTTGGAACCCACTTGCATTGCTTTTACAGCTGGAGCTTCTTTAGGCCTCAACTTGAAGTACAAGACCAGCAAAGCCATGCCTCCCATGTCACCAATATACAATTCATTCTACCCATCAGAGTGTAAGAATTGAAATATTTTGGCCAGGCATGGTAGCACATGCCTTTAGTCCCAGCACTTGGGAGGCAGAGGCAGGCAGATATTTGTGAGTTCAAGGCCAGCCTGGTCTACATAGTGAGTTCAGGTCAGCTGGGACTACAGGGAGACCCTGTCTCAAAAAGACACACACA